GGGAGGGCATTCGCCAGACGTTCATGCTTCCGGCCTCTCCGCAGCATAATGGGGTTGCTGAGTGCCGCATTGGCTTGGTTATAGAGGTCGCTCGTACCTCCATGGTCCATGCGGCTGCCCCCCATTTTCTGTGGCCGTTTGTGGTCCGCTACGCCACGCATCAGCTCAACATCTGGCCCCGTGTCTCCTTGCCGGAGACCTCGCCCATAGTGCGGTGGACGGGAGAGGTTGGCGATGCGTCGGTGTTCCAGGTCTGGGGTTCTCGTGCCTTTGTCCGCGATACCACCGCGGACAAGCTCTGCGCCCGCGCTGTTCCTTGTGTCTTCCTTGGCTTTGTCCCTGACGCGCCTGGTTGGCAGTTTTACCACCCCACCTCGCGTCGTGTATTCCCCTCTCAGGACGTCACGTTCGACGAGTCGGTTCCCTTTTACCGTCTCTTCCCCTACTGCACTGCCCCTCTCCCCCCCCCCGCCGCTCTTCCTCGCTCCAGGTGCTCCCCAGGTAGACCCCCTCCTCGCTCCCGGTCCTGCTCCTTCAGGTGTGTCTCAGGTAGACCCTCCTCCCTTGACTGCGCCGGTTGAGGTCACTGGTGACTCAGGTTCTGCTGAGGGTGGTCCTGCTCGGGGTGCTGCTTCTGGGGGTGATGAGCCTGTGGGTGCGGAGCCTAGGGGTGCGGAGCCTGGGGGTGCGGAGCCTGGGGGTGCTGAGCCTGGGGGTGCGGAGCCTGGAGGTGCTGAGCCTGGGCGTGAGGAGTCTGGGGGTGCTGAGCCTGGGGGTACTGAGTCTGGGGGTGCTGCACGTGGGGGCGCTGAGGCGTCTGGTGAGCAGTCTCCCTGGAGCGGCCGTCTCCGTAGTCGCTCCGCTGGTGCCTCGCCGCTGCACTCTCGTCGTCGTCTCCCTCTCTCCCCACAGCAGCTGGGTGAGTGGTACGTTAGCCGTCAGGCTCGAGCTGCTGGAGCTGGGGGCCCTGCTGTGGGAGGTGCTGGTGTTGGAGGCACTAGAGCCTGCGCTGTCCCTCTCTCCCCACAGCAGCTGCGTGAGTGGTACGTTAGCCTTTAGGGTCGCGCTGCTGGCGCTAGGGGCCCTGCTGCGGGAGGCGCTGGAGCTGGTGACTCTACTATTGGAGTTGTTTCTACTGGAGTTCCTGGAGCAGCTGTTGGTGGTGCTGGCGCTGGTGGCGCTGGAGCTGGAGGTTCTGGAGCTGCTGCGGGTGCTGGTGCTGGAGGTTCTAGAGCTGTTGGAGGTGCTGGCGCTGGTGGCGCTGGAGCTGGAGGTTCTGGAGCTACTGCGGGTGCTGGTGCTGGAGATTCTGGAGCTGTTGGAGGTGCTGGCGCCGGTGGCGCTGGAGCTGGAGGTTCTGGAGCTGCTGCTTGTGCTGACGCTGGAGGTTCTGGAGCTGTTGGAGGTGCTGGCGCTGGTGGCGCCGGAGCTGGAGGTTCTGGAGCTGCTGCGGGTGCTGGCGCTGGGGGTTCTGGAGCTGCGGGAGGTGCTGGAGCTATTGGTGCTGGTGGCACTGCACCGCCGCGACTGTTCTTCGCTCCGCCGTCACGTTTGTCTCTGCCACCGCCTGGCTCCGTGCTTCGCCAGGTTCTTAGCCTCCCGTCTTCTACTGGTCTTCTGTTACAGCCAGGCTCACCGCTGCCTGCTCCTTCTCCTTACACTGAGCTGACGGGCGGTCTTGCTGAGCGTCGTGAGCCTGCGTCTCGTCTTGTCTCGCCTCTTCGCACTGTCCGCACTGGTCGTACAGGTCGTCGTGTTCCTCGTGTTCCTCGTGAGCGTCCGCCGGCTGTCCCCGGCACACACCTCATGGCCCTGCATCCTTCCTCTGCTCCGCAGCGTGTTCCCTTGCCGTCCCCTCCTGCGTCTTCTCTGTCTGACGGTCTTGAGCCTGAGTCTGACCGCGCTCGTGCTGCTCACCCTACTGTCACGCGTCTGCTCGCCACTTTTGTCACTGACCCGTCGTTTGAGTCTGCTGCTGCGTCAGCCTTAGTCGCTGAGCTTGTTGACTTTGCTGTTGCCTGTCGTCTAGACTACGCCGCTAGTCTTGTTGATGAGTCTGAGTCTGTCTGTCCTCCGTCCGTCGGGGGTGAGTGTGCTCTTGGCACGGACGTGACAGGCAGGAGGACCTTGAGTGTCTTGCAGCCGCTGCGCCTCATCTCGTGTCCATGTTGCTTGCCCCTGAGGGAGACCCGGATGCTCCAGACATCCCGACCCCGCGCTCTTACGCTGAGGCGATCACGGGTCCCTACTCCTCTCAGTGGCAGACAGCCATGGACGCAGAGATGGCATCCTGGAAGTCCACAGGCACTTACGTCGACAAGGTTCCCCCTCCCGGGGAAAACATCGTCGAAGCATGTGGATTTTCAGGGTAAAACGGTCGCCAGGTTCTCCGCCTGTATTCAAGGCTCGTTACGTTGCTCGAGGCTTCAGTCCGCGCGAAGGAGTCGACTTCTTCCAGACCTTCTCCCCCACCCCAAAGATGACCACTCTTCGGGTACTGCTGCACGTTGCCGCTCAGCGTGACTACAAGCGTCACTCTCTTGATTTCAGCACAGCTTTCTTACAGGGCAGCCTGCACGAGGAGATCTGGCTGCGCCGCCCACCTGGCTTCACTGGGTCGTTCCCTCCTGGTACCCAGTGGAGCCTCCGGCGGCCAGTCTACTGTCTCTGCCAGGCGCCGCGTGACTGGCACGACACACTGAGGACGACACTTGCGGCTCTTAGGTTTGCGCCGTCGACTGCTGACTCTCGCTGTTTCTGCGCACCGACACTTCGCTGCCGCCGTTCTACATTCTCGTGTACGTCGACGACTTGGTCTTTGCCACTGCTGACACTGAGGTTCTCGCCCTGGTGAAGTCGGAGCTGCAGAAGAGACACACGTGCATAGACCTGGGTGAGCTGCGCAGCTACCTTGGCTTGCAGATCACCCGGGACAGAGCACGCCGCACCATCACACTGACTCAGTCACACATGGTGCAGCAGGTCCTTCAGCGCTTCGGCTTCACCTGGTCCTCGACACAGGCCACTCCTCTGGCTACAGGTCCCTCGCTCTCAGCTCCACCTTCGGACGAGTCCGTAGAGCCGAGTGGTCCTTACCCAGAGCTAGTGGGCTGCCTCATGTACCTAATGACCTGCACTCGTCCTGACCTTGCGTACCCTCTTGGCCTTCTGGCTCGCTACGTGGCTCCTGGTCGGCACCGAAAGGTGCACATGGATACTGCTAAGAGGGTACTATGCTACTTGTGCAGTACATCGGGCATGGAGCTCGTGCTTGGAGGACGGAGCGACGTTGTCCTCACTGGGCCCTCAGACGCTTCTTGGGTTGACGACCAGGCTACACAGCGGTCGTTACAGGGTTACACCTTCAGCCTTGGCTCTGGTTCAGTTTCTTGGCGTTCTACACGCTCGTCTTCAGTTCTCAGCTCCAGTTGTGAGGCTGAGATCTACGCCATAGCCATGGCTGCACTGGAGTTGCGCTGGCTTACCTACCTGCTGACCGACTTGGGAGAGCGGCCTCGTTCTCCTCTAGTGCTGTACTTAGACAACAAGGCCGCCATTGCCTTGTGTCAGGAGCACAGACTGGAGCACAGAACGAAGCACATCGCTCTGCGTTACTTCCTTGCTCGAGAGTTGCAGCAGCGTGGTCAGCTTCGTCTTGCTCACGTGGCCACTCAGGCCAACACTGCTGATATATTCACCAAGGCACTTCCGCCTGGTGATCATCAGCGCTTTTGTACTTTGTTGGGCCTTGTACCTACATTTCCTCACTTGCTGTAGGCTCTGCGTGTACTGTGATATGTATATATATATATATATATATATATATATATATATATATATACCTGCATGCTTGCTCCTGGTAGGTAGAGATCATTGTGCTGTTGTTGTTGCATATATACCTCTGCATGTGAACTGGCCTTGTGGCCCTTTGCTTGTGCTTAGTGTGTGTGGTGACGTTGTGATCCACCCTGAGCTTGCTTTGCTTCTCTTGACTGGTCTTGTGACCCCTTGCTCTCCCCCACTTTGCCTATGGGGGTGTGTCAAATTATATGCATGTCATATATGTGTAGGCTGTAGTGGGGTAGTCAATATGGGGTACAACCCCATTAGGGTTTCATATTTGTACCAAACCCTCACCTAGTCAATTCATCCCTACTACTAGATTCTAACAATCAGCACACTAGGTATGTTGGCATTACAATTGCACCTATTCTCAACTAACAAGGCTGCAAAGCAACACTGGTTGGTAGTGGTGTTTCCATAATGAAGTCTAGCATAAACAAGCAGCTGGCAGCTGCCATAAAAGGTATTGCCAAGTGAGGAGCTTGGCACCTAATCCCCTCGCCTAACCCGTAGCTACCATAACTTACCGCCGGTAACCATTGTGTTCAATCCTGCTGACATAACATGACTGCTGACATTCCGGTAGCCATTGGATCACATGCCCTTTGATGATGAAGAGCAGAGTGATGCCATCTGATTCACACGGGGATACGCCATCAAGCTGAACCCAGAAGTGCGGAACTGATCTGTCGGGACCGGCCTTGTCTTGCTGTCAAATTTGCCATACACGTTACGAATCACCGGGGAGATCTGTACGCTCTTAGACGCGGGTGTGACGCGCACGTTGGAGAGGTGGATGTCGCGGCACGGCACGGAGTAGCTGCAGTTGAGCAGCAGCCCGCGCTTGAATGTCGTGGTGGCCTCTATGTTGCTGAAGCTCACCCCTTGCACCGCAACGTTGTCTGTCTGCTTCTCACACACCACTCCAGGAGTCGAGCGATCGCAGTAGTTCTGATGTGTTAGAGGAAGGTGGATGTGAAGGTGGGAACAGGTGTGAAGGGAGCAGTTTGGTGATGTGAAGGAGGAAAACTTGCATAGAGAGAGGCAGGTGAAGAGGCCAGGCGAGGGTGTAGAGTACTGAGAACACGGTAGGAGGTGCAATACCAACCAGGATATGTTTTAGCTGTCAAGAACAAATCGTGTGTGCAAGGCACACACTATGCAGGCAGGGTCAGATGTGCTACCTCCTGGTCAAGGTGAAAGCGCCGTTCAATTACCTGATCAATCACTATCGGAAGCTTGATGTTCTTCATAAGCACGTTCTTAAACTGAATGTTCTTCACCAGGCCGCGGCCCCCCTGGTACGTCTTGATGCGCAGCCCATTGTCTGTGTCTGTTAGAACCACGTTGCGTACAGTCACATCGGAAACACATGCCACTGTGCCGTGTGCTCCAAGGCTACCGATGCTGCAGATGGCACAGGGAGAGAGAAGAGGGCGAAGGAAGAGGGGAAGATAGGGAAGAAGGGCAGTGGAGGAGGGGTGGAGGGGTTGGGGGGTGGGGGGGGGAGGATGGCAAGGAGGAGGAGAGATAAAATATATGTATGGAAGTGCACATTTAATGGCTTGAGGTTGGGCTTGTGTCTGGTGCTTGAGGTTGGTAATACGCTGCCTTGTGTCATGAATCATAATATACTTGGTATACACCACACCATATGACACGCCATCACACGTCAGTTCACACATAGAGCTTATCCCATCGCAAACCTACTAATATCCACACCCTCAAATGCCCCCCAAACCTGGCAGCCGTTGCAATTCCATCCCATACCTGATCTCTTGCTATGCCTAGATTCCCGAACCTACTGCCAAATCTGCGTCCGTGCCGTACCTGATGCCGTGGCCAGCCGTGCCCCATATGTTGGCGATGGTGACTCTATGCGCCCCTTCTTCTATGGAAATGTTGTCGTCGCCTGGTAGAGAGAGAGGGGAAACGGGGAAAAGAGGGCACGGGAGGGGAAAGGAGGAAAAGAGGGAACAAACGGGAGGCGGGGCATGGGAAGGAGGGTGAAAGAGGGGAGGAGAGGAAGGGAGAAAGGAGAGAGGGGAGGGGGAGAACGAGAGCAGGTAAATAAGAGTGTTGGCGTAAGACAGATCGTTCCCACGTAATCCATAGCCATCTGCTGTGTTGGAGTGGTTTGTCAAATCCCAAGCTCACTAGATACTAAAGCGCGTACCCGTGTGAATGTTGCTGAACTCCACAACCACGTCGCTGGACGAGCCGATGTGAATGCCGTCTGTGTTGGGGCTGTCAGCAGGCGACTCAACTGTCACGTTCGACACGCGCACGTAGCCGCTGCGGAAAATGTTCATGTGCATGCCCGCGGGGTTCCTGCACGGATGCGCACGGCGCGGGTGGAGGTAGAGAAGGCGAGGGGAAGCGAGAGAGGGGGGAGAGAGGGGTATTGGGTCGACTCATAAGCTGTCAGAAGGCGAATGCTAGACACATTCGACACGCGCATGTGGAAGATGTTCAGGTGCATTCCCGCGGGGTTCTTGCGCGAATGCGGCGGGAGCTAGAGCGGGAGAGCGGGAAAGCGGAAGTGCGGGAGCGCAGGAAAGCGGGAGCGAGGAAGAGGGTGAGTACGGTGGTGGAGGTGGGTGCTGCTGCGACAAGAGGCGAGAGCTTCAGCTGACAAGTGGAACAACTCGTGAAAGGGATGAACACACTCCCACGGCGAGGCGGCTACAGCGTACCTGTTTTTGAAACCCGCGAGCGTCACGCTGTAGCTAGCGAATATGTCCAGCAGAACGGGCCGCTTCAGCTCCCTTGGGAGCTCATTCCCGTGATACATGGGCCACCAGCGCCGGTCGCCTCGCCCGTCCATCTCCCCGTCGCCCACTATCCATAGCCCGTGCGCCTGCTTCGCTTGCAGCACCGCGCCGCTGAAATCGCCCGGCCAGGATTTTGAGGAGGGCGGGTTCTCTGGCGCGACGATTTTCCCGTCCAGTTTGATGGTCACTCCCGGGCCGCATGGGCCTTGCATGGTGACGTAGTTAAGGAGGAGGGTTTTTCCGCGGGGGATTCGGAGTACGGTGCGCTTGTTCGCCTTCTTCGCCGCGCTGCACGCGGCGTTGAACGCGGCTAGAAACGCGGAGGAGTCGTCGGACTTGCCGTCGCCCCTGGCGCCGCGATCCATGGGAGAGTACACGTCAGCGCACGACGCGGTCTGGAAATAGCAGTAAGCCATGGCGGATGGCTCGTCTTTGCCGCTCGCGCGAGCGCGGTCCATGCATTCCGGCGGAAGAAGCGGCGCGGCGACCTCGCCGCCGCCCTTGACGCGCTTCGCGGCGGCCGCCGAGTCAAGAGGCACGGAGCCGCCGTACCAGAGACAGGTCTGGCTGGAACGGCAGCCAGCTAAGTTCGGATACAGGAGCGAGGTTGGTGGGCGCGAAAGAAGAACGTGGGGTGGGGAGGGCGGGAGAGAAGAGAAAGAATGAGGGTGGAAATCGAGAAATAGAAGAAGAGGGGGGGGGAATGGGTGGAGGGGAACAAGAGGACGGTGATAAGTAGGGAAGGTGAAGAGGCAGTACATACCCTTATTGCTATGGCGAGCGGCTGGGTTACACGGCGCTGATTGCGGGGTTGGGAAATGGGGAGTACGGCTCAAATCACCGCATAATACACATGAGACCTGCATGCGTTGACTGGCGTTGACCAGCGTTGAATCGAACACGTACCAGGCCCCTTGATTATCTTGCATCGGTCGTCCAGTGTGTAGCGACAGTCGCCTGTCACCGTCGTGGCACCGCGACTCGGGGCCCACGCATCGGTGCGCTTCAAGACCTTACTGTGGGGAGACACGCGGAGGGAGCGGAGACACGCGGAGGGAGGGGAGATACGGGAGGGAGGGGAGAGACGGGAGGGAGTGGAGAGACGGGAGGGAGTGGAGAGACGGGAGGGAGGGGAGAGACGGGAGGGAGGGGAGAGACGGGAGGAAGGGAAGAAACGGGAGGGAGGGGAAGACACAGGAGGGGAGGTGTGATGCGATTAAGGTGTCGATTCCGCAAAAAGGTCGAGTAAAATAGAATGGAAACGTACGCCGTACGTAGCAAAATATTGCTACGTACGGCGAGACGGTGATATGTGACTTCGCGAAAACGAACAATATGCTGGGGCCGGAAGACGACGGAGATGACGGAGGTAGATTGGGAAAAGGACCATGCGGGTGGTACGAGCAATACACAGCGCGGAGTGCGCACGAGAGAAGGGGCTTACGAGGTACTGAATCGCTCGACTCGGATGAATCTCTTTGCTCGCGAGTTGTACTGACACGCCGCATGTGTCTTGGGAATGGCGCCTGCAATAAGGGAGAGTTGACAGGGCGCAAGGAGACATCGCAAAGTGTTTTGAGCTGGAGGTGTCTCAAACTAGTCAAACGAGAAGTGCCGTTTCAAAGGGTTGAAGGTGTGCAGAAGAGAGATATTACACTTTCTCCCGATTTGCGACTACGGTAAACTTGGGAAACGAGGGTCCGGAGAGTGCTACTAACCGTGAGCAATGTGGGCAAAGGTCTCCAGAATGAGGAAGAAGAAGAGAACAGCAGGAAACGTTGCAGAGAGCTGGCGGCGATTCTGGCGCTGGTGTCGGTGCTTGTGCTGCCGTCGGCCAAATACGCTCGTCTGCAAGATCTCCTCAGGCAAGACAGCCGCTGGCTGCCTCGCGTGGCGGCGTAGCATTTCCATTGGTGTGCGACGCGACGAAGAGATGCTGCTGCTGGCCTGTGTCGGAAGCTCCGCAGCGAAAATAATCCGTTCGTGAATTAGAGGTGCGTGGGCGAGACGAGTGAATAAGAATGTGCAGAGTGTGAAGGTAGACTCTGGCCGCAGAACCAAGGAGAGCAGGCGTGGAGAAGTTGCAGCGAAGAGAGAGGAGAAGTTGATTGTGAGAGGTTACGATCCTTCGGAGGCTGTGTGACTGCGCTCCGGCGTGATGTGCGGCAAACTGGCTAAGATATCGGCGAATGCTCGCGCTTGTGTAAGTGCAGCAGCTAGCAATATTTGGTTTCGATACAATCTTGACAGTTCTGAAATGCCTGCTAGATTCCAGTCCTCTAGTAATTATGTTGCAGTATTTAGTCTGAACGTAGTTGATGTGAAAACTCGTATGTGGTACCTTCCCAGATACCACCTGGCGGAACGCGCTCATGGGCTTCCAAGGTCGTTAGCGGCACGAGAGGCGCACATTCTAATCAGCTTTGGTGAGAATATACGTTTTCTTGGAAAATTACTTGACCATCGTTATGGCGGTATGTTAGGCCCTCGCATCTCTAATGCTGCATGCGAAATGTCGGCCAAATCGCGCGATGACCAATTTCGATTTTCTGTGCCGTCTCCGAGGCGCTAACCAACGAGTGAACATTCCGCGCCGAACCATTTGACTCCCTCCCACCCAACCAAGTTTGGAGGTTGATCAAGCCCGAGCCGTGTTGCTTGCTGTAATATGTCCGTTCCATTTAGGGCGTCCACGTCGAAATCAGTAGAAAAATTTGAACCGTCAGATCTGAGGACCCTGAGATATCAGACGGTTCTAACCCGCCGCCTTAGCTAGGTGTCATCCAGCTTGTCCCCGCACGTACTGTGCGACGGGTGTGACAGAATTTGATGCTGCGACCCGCTCAGGGCGAATCGCCAGGAATACAAAATTTGTCCCACTCGTCAGCGACCACTCGACGACACTCACTGTGCGCGCGCACGAACATCACTTGTGCCCCTCGCCGGTTGCAAGGAAGAAACAGCCAATTGAGTGACGAGAATTTTACGAGGTCCAAACACGATATTAGTTGCACAATTGTTACAGGTGCAATGAATCTAGGCAGCGAGGATTGCACTACAGTGTTCAATGAGTACAAAGTTTGGGCGAAGGCATGAAAACATGCAAACGGTAACGTGGAGCGTGCGAGCTAGCTAGTGCTATGCTCGCGCGAGGTTCAGGCTAGTCCCGAAGCGTAGGCCAACTCGGCTGCTCCAGCAGTGCGAGGTTTGATGAAACAGTGCGCGCGAAGTTGGCGAAGCCCCGTTAGCAGTAACGGGCGAAGAACGGCTGCTACTCTACGCGATGTTGACAGTCGCGGCAAGGAATAGCGAGAAAATTCCTTACACTACCCCCCCCCCCCCCCTCTCAAGAAGCCCCCTCCGCTACGCGAGTGCGTGTATATCGCGGAAACCCCGGCTCCTAAGGTACACTTGCAGGGCAGGGTGGTTTTCGATGTTGGCCAGGGGCACTCGGCTATCCTCAGTTGGCGTGTGGTCCTTCCGGCGAACGAGGAACTCGATCCTCTTGATGCCTGTGGGGTGTCGAATCCGATGGCTCAGGATCTTCTCAAGCTCGATGATCGGCTCCGATGCAGGGCGAGTCATGGATGGCGGGTAGTGACGAGGCAGTTGGCTCGTGGTTGGGATGTAAGGGCGAAGCAGGCTGACGTGGAACGATGGGCTGATGTACCAGTCTGTCCGTAACAGTAAATGGGCGGTAACTGGGGTGATCATGTGGCTGATTTGGAACGGTCCACAGTATCGCGGTCGAAGTTTCGGTACGACGGGCAGTCTTAAGTTCAGTGTGTCGAGAAGTATGTAATCTCCTTACTGATACGTGACTGGGCGGCAGTGGCGGTCAGCGGTGCGTATAGCAATGACGTTGCCTTTTTTCATTGCTTCTGCGGCTCTGGTGCGGGTAGCTTGCAGAATCTCAGCGAACTATTGTGCGCGCGGCGTTGGGTTGTCTGGACTCGGCGCCATGGGCACTGTTGGGTTTTGCCCGTAGTTCATGTAAAACAGGGACTGCTGCGTTGTCGCTGACGTGGCGTTGTTTTTTGCGAACTCGATCAGCGACCACTGCTGCTCCCAAGTTGTCGGGTCGTCGCACGTGGCACGAATCAACTGCTCCTTCGTCTGATTCGTCCGCTCCGTTTGACCGTCGGTCTCGGGGTGGTCCGACGAGCTGAACTGTAGTCTGGTCTCGAACTGCTCCCAGAGGTTCTTCCAAAAGTTGTTGGTAAACTTCGTGTCGCGGTCGCTGATGATTGCGGCTGGTATCCCGTGCAGTCGAACGACAGTTGCGATGAACAGGCGAACGGTTTCTTCGGCTGAGATTGATTTCCTGCATGCAGCGAAGTGAGCCATTTACGTCAGCCTGTCAACGACGACCATTACCGCGTCGTTACCCCAAGGGTTCGAAGATAACCCTGTGACAAAATCCATGGTCACCTACTGCCAGGCGCACTCGGGCGGTGGAATCGGCTGCAACTGACCCGCTTTTCTTTTTTCGCGAGCTCTTCATCACCTGACATATAGGACACGAGCACACGTGGTGCTGTACATCGGTCAACAGCTCTGGCCAGTAGTAATACCGCTGTAGTTGCTGTCACGTTTTTTCTACCCCGAAGTGACCCGAGGTAACCCCGTCGTGTGCCTCCTGCAGTAGCAGTTCTCTCAGTACTGAATACGCGGGTTCCCAGATGCGGTTGGTGCCTGTCTTTACGTAATAAACTCCCTTACCTTCTGCTGTGAATTTCCGGTCGTGAAAAATGAATCGGTATTGTATCTGTGGGTGAATAGGCCTGTTAACGGTGGATTGGTTTGGGCAAGTAGGATGGCGAAGAGTTGGGCTGTTGGGAGAGTGAGTGCGTCGGCGATGTGTGATGCGCCTTTCTTGTACGTGACGGTGTAGGTGGAAGTTGGACTCCAGATAGTCCAACTAGCGGATCTGTCGCGGATTGAGATTCGGTTAGGCGCGGAGGTACTGTAGTGATCGGTGATCTGTCCGTACTGTCACGTCTGCTCTGGTGAGGTAGCATCGCCACACTTTGAATGCGTCCACGATCGCCAGCATCTCGCGGTCGTGTATTGGGTAGTTGCGTTCGGGCGGGTGAAGTTTGCGGGACTCGTACGCGATTGGCTGAAGGCCGTTCCCGAAGTCCTGCAACGGTACTGCTCCCATGGCGATGTCGCTTGCGTCGGTGATGAGTTCGAACGGACGGTGCGGATCTGCGATGTGAAGCACGGGCGGGGAGCACAATTTTTTCTTGAGGGCCGAGAAGGCAGCTTGCTCTTTCTCCCCCCACGTGTACTGAACCCCTTTCCTCAGCAGGTCGGTCAACGGAGCAGTCAACCTTGCCATGTCGGGGACGAACCGGCGCACGTAGTTGACGAACCCCAAAAAACTCTGCAGCTCAGTCAAATTTGTCGGCGCGTGCCACGCTTGAATCGTCGCGATTTTCTTCCGGTCTATTTCCACTCCGTCAGCTGAAATAATGTGTCCCCAAAACCCAAGTCTCTCTTGTAGAAACTCAGTAGGCTTTGGTCAGTAGGCGATTCTCACTCAGTATTTTAAAGACGGCTTCGATGTCCTGTAGGTGATGTGCTCTGTCTGGGCTGTAAATCAGGATATCGTCGAGATACACGATGACGCACTAATCTAAAAGCGGGCGGAAGGCTTCATACATGGTCATTTGAAAATTGGGGGGGGGGGGGGCGTTGGTCAGTCCGAAGGGCATGATGGTGTATTCGAAGGATCCATATCGTGTTCGGAAGGCTGTTTTCGGGCAGTCAGGTGGGTTGACGCGGATCTGCTGGTAGTCTTTTCGAAGGTCAGTTTTCGAGAAAACCCGAGTTGTGCACAGTTGGTCGATCAGTTCGTCGG